TAGCATTGGCTTTGTTTAAGCAGTATCATCAGTTTGGTGAATGATAGTAATAACACTCTTTGGTCACAAACTGCACATTTATGCACATGAGAGTCGTTGAATGACACAGGTGGCGCTGTGTGACATAGTCGAGAGTATTTAGTGCCCCTCCCCCTTTAGTGCCGCAGAGAGAGAGAGAGAGAGAGAGAGAGAGAGAGAGAGAGAGAGAGAGAAATTAAGTGTGACAGGATTAATGGTAGTCCTAGAAATGGAAGTCCGGGGTCCTAAATGATTAGTACAGGCTAGGATAAGTCGGAGCATTGGGGTTAGTATATGGGACGAAGGTCACCTGAACAAAATAGTGAGGAACGGACTACAGTTCCTAGCGGACTATCATTCCTGTCACACCGGCCTAAAAAAAGATATCTTTATGCAGCTCCTTAATGAGTACGCAGTATATAGAACCTAGTGTAATAATGAAACAAATCCCATCTCATTTTCTATCTGGACAATTTGTCTTATACTTGTAATTTGTTAATGATGAACCTTTTCTTTTACCTCAATGCAGTTTTATAATTTCTATATTTACATTGTACTTCTCTTTGCTACTCTTGTTGTATAAACACACAAGTGCATTGAAACATATGATATATTTCTTTTATACTCCAAAATTGATATTTAAACTTCCAACCTGTTTATGTACGTACATTGTCGCATTTTTGGCCTCAAATAAACAAACTGACTGGGCAGGTATGAAATACGTATGGGTATGTAAAATGCAGTAATGCTGAAAACTTTTATTGAGTTACTAGCGATTGTTGGATGCATCTGTTTTATCTCATTTTCTGATAATTACGTAAATGTCAGCATTGCTGCAGAATAATAAGACAAAATTAGTTTTTATCTGTTTTATCCTCTAGGCTGATAAGTTTTAATAAGAGTGGTATTTTAAGAAAACACTCTGCGTGCGCTAAGATTTAATTTCAGGTTTTAATATCAGCCGTAGAGTTGTATCAATGTAACCACTACAGGAAACGCTTTCTTTAGAAGGCAGCGGCTGTGTAATGAACGATTAATGAATTGGCTTAACACTTGGCAACTTTTTCCTATCCTTCAAAAATCCTCAAGTCATTCTGACGCGCAGTGGTCTTGTCGTCACAATGTGTTATTATAGGTAAGCTGTTTAATTCATAATTCGATAGAAGAAAAAAGCACCATTACTATACTATCTTTGAGTAGGTATTGAAACGTAATCTTAGTCGACGAAAAAGGCTTGGTGCACAGATAGACTGTGTTAAGCGCTCGTACATTTTGTTTGAGGAGGCATTTATCCTTAGAAATGCAAATTAAACGTGAAGTGAAGGATTGAACTAAAACTCGTGAATTTATTTATTTCACGTGATTGTACAAATTTCCTGTTGTATAAATTGAACGCGAATATAAAATGATACGTATTCTTAAAAGTTTGTCCAATCCCTCTTCCCCCTCTTCCACACCCCTAGCCCTCCCCACCTCCCCAAAATAAAGATGCATATGAGGTGAGTATAAACAAATAAAATAAGGACCAGTGCTTGCACGATCATTTTTTTTATTATTTATTTATTTATTTCATTTATTTTTGTATGTTACATCAATGGACATTGCTTATATTCGCACTGTACGACATACGCTCGGGTGGCTTAAAGAACGCGAGTTAAATCAGCTGTATCTATGCATCATCTTCTTGGACAGCTTTTCTCGTGGGGTATATGCAGGTTTCACACCGTGGGCGTAGCTGCGTAAAGCACGCAATAAAGAGAATTGTCGCACGCCTTTTAAGTTTATTGTGAGTCGGGTCCAACAGCACCAGTTTACAATGCAGCTATGCTACCAGTAACAGCGCCGCAAGCCGGGCGGAATCGGCTGCTTTATAATTCGCCCACTTACCGGTAGACTACCGGACACAAGAGACTAGAATGTCACTTTATTCTATACGTAGCATTTCACGACATTCACGCAGAAAATGAAGACTTTTTGTATTAGGAAATCGGAAAATAATTTAATTCTCGTTATCGGAGAAATACAGCATCCTCTAAATGATTCACTCTGGAGAGGATTCACTTACAGTAATAGGTGCTGAGGTTTCAATACATTGGGGATAGCCTCCCTGGAGAAAGGTCTTAACTCCATCTTACTTCTCTTTAATCGAAAAATTCCATTTCTCTACACAATGATCGCGCTCGTCTCTTTTACTGATGGTTTTTGTCAGCGATATGATAGTCATTCAACTTGTTAATTTTGATATCCACATTTGGTGTATACTTGACGGTAATTCGATTTAAGAAGGATTAGAAAATATGCGGGCGTTAACTAAGTTATTCGTGCAGCACCCTGACCTTAATGTGCTTCTGTCAACGCGTACAGTCGAGAGATGTGCCATGTATGATTGTTGTGCACTTTCCTTACTGGAATGCATCAGTTGAGACAAACTGGTTAAACATTGTTGATTCACATCACAACTGATGCAATCGTTTGCATCCTCCACATACATGTAAAAGCTCACGATATTAAGTTTGTTCTCATCAGGACGTATTATAGAGAGGAAAAATCTGAGAGTTGGGATTTTTTTTTTTGAATCAATATTTTACAGTTCTAACAAAATGAAAATTGAAAATATATCTCTGTCGACATCTAAATAAGTTTCATTGAAATGGTAATTAAATGAATAAAAAATCTCGTTTCTAAGACGTCGGGATATACCTACAATCGCTTCAAACCTATGTATAATTCTCAGAAAATTACGTGTGGTAGATAATTTCTTTCTAGTTAGTTACTGATATCTGATAGCAATTACATTTTTTTAGCTTGCGGTCCTGCTAATGTCATTTACAGTAACGAAAAAGGAAATCAAATTTAGTTTATCTGACCTGTATGAATTAAACATAAGAAATAGCTCCCAGCGCACCTTCGCTGTTATCGTATCTGAAACCAACGCTAGCAATTAATGACCGTACCTTGAAATGTTATAAATGACGTTTTGATAACTTGAGTATCATTAATCAACAGGAAATGAAAGCGTGAAAGAGAACCAATCGCAGACTGTCATGTAACGTACTTTGATTGCACCAATCAACTGAATACTTGTTTCAAAACTTATCTCAAAATATTTTACATTTCTTGAAAAAATTGAAAAAAAAATTAACATGAAGTGGTTCTAAGCTGCCGACATACGACTACACAGTCACACTAGTAACTGTATGAGGGCGAAGGAATCTCGTATTTAATTTTCAGATAAGAACACACACACTGGGAGGGGTGCACGTTATGTACCCAGGCGTTTAAGTGACGTGTTTGTATGCATAGCGCCTGAATAAGCTGACAACAAAGCCAGACATTGTTTAACATGGTTTTATTTTAGGAGCTTGTTGATTTTGTATTCTTGTATATCAGTAATTCAAATCATCGGGAATGTAATTTAGACCCCCCCCCCCCCGTTATAAAACCTAGAGACATTGACCTGGTGCATGGAATGGTTTAATAATTATCTTAGATTTACTAATTGAGTACATAAAAATATACCTGCATATGTACCGGTATATGAAACTTTTCTTTAAAAATTGCATGCGTCTATCATTTTCATGCTCCTGTGCTACAGTTTGTTGATTAAATAAGTGCTCTTCGATTGAAAAAAACATGATGATCGAACCATTGTGAAATGAGTAAATAATCTCCCACTTCGCCCACGACCATTTTGCTATTTTATCCTTCGGCTGTACTTTCATTTACTTTCCTATCAAACCATTACTACCAGAATCGAATAAAATATTAGTATCTGCGACGTACATGTATAGTGCGATTCATACACAAACGGGCCTTTCTTTGCCCGAAGAATTGTCAATATTGTAATCTATGATACGGTAAAGGTGATTAGTCAGTCAAAAGCAAGTCACTCTCGAAGCTGTCATGATATTTACAGTCTTCATAGTTTGTGGCAATAGTCTTGTATATGCCCTCCTCAGATAATCCTGCTGTCCCATGTCCATAACTATGTAATGAAATTAAAAAAAAAAACTTTTAAACTACTTGGGTAGATATTCTATGTGTGTGGTTATGTGTGCGTTTGCGGGTGCGTATGTTGAGGTGACTGACAAATTGCATCAGATACTTGTTAATCATACAATTTGTTCTTACATCTATACTGAATTACTAAAAGGAAAAACTTTTTTCAGAAAAAAATGAATAAATGAATAATTTTAAAAAAATGAACTAACATCCATGCTGAAAATAATTGGATCATCATTTTGCGCAGAGCGGCCATAAAGTGGATCGCACGCCTAGAACGGAAGATCGATGTTATTGCAAATTGCTAAGCAACAGTGGTAGCCACGTTAATTTTTAATTCACTCGTCAGGCTCGATTTTCTCTTCATAGACACATTCTAACTGCATGTACGCATATCTACGTTAAAACAGTTCCATTTTTTCCTGTCATATTGATCAAAACATCAGACATTTATCCTCCAAAGCCCAACACATCAGATCCATCTCTGTCGAGTAGCAATTTTTGTTATTACACTGTGTTATCTAGTCCTTGCAACACCCAGCTAATCCTCATTGCAATGACTCGTAAATTGATATAGTTACAAAATAAAAAAAGATGTAGTCACATGAGAGAGAGAGAGAGAGAGAGAGAGAGAGAGAGAGAGAGAGAGAGAGAGAGATTTAAAATAATTTGTAATTACTTGCGACCACATTAATGGTTGCGTATTTCAAAATCAATCAATTTCTTGTATTACCTTCAGTTAAGTTTAATTCTGTTGATGACAATGGCTAATATATATGTATCTTCAAATTGTTTTACTTGCACGGGTTCAACTACCAAATATATTTTATACAAATGAACGTCATTAAACTTTTATATTGTCTTAATAAAGACAGAATATCTGTACGTATTACTCCACATATAATTAAAGGAAGAATAAATTAATGAAAGAAATCATTGTACAAAGAGACGCTATTCTTCAATTTTACTATTCAAAGTAATCCCAATACACGCAATTGGAATAGATTCAATTACTTTATTAATTTACAGATTGTTGTTGGTCTTTTTACCCGTCTTTTAAAAGGCAAAACTGAGCAATTTCTTACAGTAATCTTTTAATCTTTAAAGAGTTGCGCAAAGATCAGCGAGTCTTTGGAAACTAGTTAAAGTAATCCAAATGTTGATAAGAATGTATGGAACTGAAATCGATGGGATAACAAGCCAAAAGAAAACACTCCTAATAATGAAAATGACAAAAAAGTATAATGGCCTCAATCCTATAACATCCATACTGACTAGGTTAATGTACCCGTGGGTGAATAAGACGCAAATCCATTAAGCTTGATCCTTCACAGGAAAGGCCCGTCAGACGATAACAATATTCAATGTCTCAGTTTCCTCTAGCAGTTTCCGTGGCAGGCGGATCTGACTTGGGTGGTGATGGGCGACTGTTATTCATCGAATCACTCTTCTTTTTCTCGGCTGCCATGTTAAAGTAGCGTCCTATCTGCACCGGGCCTAAACGACAGACCTCAAGCGGTGGGGAAATTAGCGGATTACCGTCTAAAATAGACGAGTGCCAATTTAATCCCCAGTCCAATAAAACTAAATTCCCAAAATCCTTGGGCAATGATTTAAGTTTATTTTTCCCCAGCCACAAAGATCGGAGGTTGACCAGCCTGCATATTCCATCAGGTAGCACCTTGATTTTATTGTAAGGCAACAAGAGAGTTTCCAGCTTGGCTAATTTGCTGATTTCGTCAGGGACTTTGTGTATTTGGTTGTCTGAAAAATCTAAGAATTCTAAGTCCTCCAATTCGCACACTTCGAGTGGAATATCGACGAATTCATTGTTTGCAATGTGTAAGCTTTTTAGACTTTTCAAATTTGAAAATTCCGCCGGAAGTTGGGATAGTGAATTGTTACTGAGAGCAATTCTTTCTAGATTGCGCAGGAGAGCAATTTGTGGAGGAATCTCTCGCAAATCGTTGGTGTCGAGCATCAAAACCTTGAGGTTCACCAGGCGTCCTATCTCTGGTGGCACGTACGACAAGCGATAAGCTAAACACGACTGCCGCTCAGGACTCAGATCTAACACCTCAAGTTCTAATAAGGAAAACACTTCATATGGGAGATCAGACAGTTCTTTTCCCCTTAGTTTGAGTTTCTTTAAACCATGATAAGCAGGATCCTCACTTTCGACACGCAGACGAAGCTGTCGGGACCAGTAAGCGGCCATCTGTAAAAGTAGCTCTCACCTGTTTCAGTTTTGTGATCTGATCTCCTGAATCTGTCCACGTAGTTTCAAGGCAATGATAAACAGCATGGACGTTGACCCTAAGCAATGCTAAAATACCTCTGATGAATTTAAAACCTCACGTTTCGTACATGATGCTCAGGAGCGACAGACTGCCCAGGTGTTCTACATCGATGTGGTAGTCACCGTACATTCATGGGGACGACGGGTGCGAAAAGGTACTCCATGGCCACCTTATCTGTCCCTGGCAACCCAACGCGCAATCCGCGAGTAAATACACCTCTCACTCCAAACACCCGGCGCAGCACCTGTCAACACTCCACAGTGAACCTGTAATCAGTCCGCTTTGAACAAGAGTTTGTAAATACGCTCTCGCGTCGGTTTTTAAAACAACAGCGTGATTAAGTATTCCGCATTATGGTTATTGATCCGATATTATATTGCAATGCAAAGGTGATTTATTACGTAACTCTGCTTGCTATTCGATAACATGTGCACAGTTTTGTAAATGGCAATAACAAGGGGCTATTATTAGCATGAGCTGATTTGGAAAACAAATCAAGGGCTCCTTTGTGCATTAAATCAATGCCAAAAATGACCACTTAATCTTTATTCCTTTAACAACGACCTGCTGTTATTCTAAAAGTTTAAGGCACTTCGACGCTCAAGGTAGTGGTTAAAAAATAATAACATTATATTAAAATTCAATCAAATGTTAACTACCGTTAGAGAGAGCACCGCAGCTTACAGGTAACCCATAATATTAATACCCCCTCACCGTTTGAATTTGACTGTAAAATGTATTTCACTAAGCCAAACGTAATCGGCTTATCTTTTAAAAGTTATATTGAATTTTTCCACAGCTGCATTCACCTATTGCGCCGGTTACACTATATCCTATTGTCACTTATGAGACGTTTATTGGCACATGCACTTTTTAAAGTCAACACAAGGAGTCGAAAGGTGACAAAGTGTATTCAGTATGTGTGTATAACTCCAGTAAAGACAGATGGCTATTCAAATTCAAATAGCAACGCTTTAAGCCCTGCTTAAACAAAGAGCTTTTTTTCTCCAGTGTAAAGCAATACCACCGTACAAAAGAACTTTATAAGCACAATGACCAAGGTATATTATACAGTTGGGTATTTATGTCCCTGGAATTACTGAGTAATACTAGAATTGTGGTACATATAAAATGTCTCAAATTGGTAGAGGGGTTTGGTATTAGGATTCGATTTAAAGTCACGTTAAAAAATTTACGCTAATTGATCTGCAGAGTCCGGCAGTTAAGTTACAGGCGTTGTAGTCACCAAAATCGATCATTTTGTTTGTGCGACGGCTCACGAAAATCTAGCTATGAACTTATTGAGCAGCGCGCAATTATATGAACTAATGGGGAAGACTTCATAATTAATTTACAGATTTCGGTGCTGCGATTAGGTAACAAGGTTAAGAAGTTGGTGGGTGGCGAGGGCGCAGCAGTGAAATCTCGTATCAATCCTGGCCCTTTGCATTTTCTAACTTATTCACGCTACAGAAGCTTGTTCAAAATGATTATAAAGTATGTGTAGAAACATTAGAAAGCTAAATTTGCGTTAAGGTAGCGTACATTATTAACCTTATTTTAACTACACTTGCAATATTATTGTTAACGTTATACCGCTGTGGTATACCAGGGGCTTCTTACATCTTCTAAACGAATGAGAAAAACCCCTTCTTGGCCTTTCCCTGTATCATCAAAAAATATTTTTAATAGCTGACAACGGCCTTTTTCACATCGTGCGGTATAATTATCTGTATTGCATCGTCGAGCATTTCCTATTTCTTTCATGTGCGACCAAAGTGTGCCCTTACGCCCGCCGAATCGATTTCGTAGCTCAACTAGCACAATCCAGTCTTCATTACGCAGTAGCTTTATTTATTGTTATATTGTTATAACACATACGCTGTACCTGTGCTAATAAGAGTTTAAAGGGGTAAAATATATACAGATATACATATAACAGTTATGTGTTATAATGAAATTTTTACGCACACAGTTTATTTACTAACCCCAGGTAAACGGGAACGTGTGGAACTTATCTATGTACATGCTCCATATAAACAAAAATTGTACACGGCTTTTGCGATTAAAGTCAAAATCAAGATAAGTTTTTATACAATGAAGTTTAGGTCGTGATCGCATAACGTTGTCATGTTACTATAGGGAGAAATTTCGCCTTAATATGTTAATAAATAAGACACACCTATATTTAATACGTGCCTGATTTTAAATTAGCAAGCCCTATCTAAAACGCCACTGGTAATGTGAGATAATGTAAAAGTTATTATAAACGTATTCGTTTCCTATAAACAAAGATAAACTTCTTGGCGCATAATTACAGAAATATTTTGTGTTGTGGCAGAAGAGTATTGAGGTAGATTGCCCTCTAAAATAGAAGGTTTTTGTCTTACGAAAAGATAGATAATGAAAATTGTAAGCTTGCGAAGATAAATTCATTCGATGATAATTTGCATTGTTGGAATTTAAATTCCTAGAGCTTAGAAGCAATCGTCATGGTCGTATGTACCCTGACAGTCGTTTTATTTATTTGTGGAGTCGTCGTTAAAGGTTTGTGATATATCTCCTTATATACTTTATATTGACATGCTTGACATGCGTTACTATGTCATGAAATTTGCAAAGGACTTTTAGTGTTTCTCATGAAACTGAGTAAAACGGCGTGCAATATCATGAATAAAATGCTTAGCTTTCAATAATTTGTGATTTGTTTTGTTTTGATCAATTGGTAGAATGTAGAATGCGTCGTTTTAAATGTGGAATACCGCCCATCATTGTTAGTTTTTTACTAAAATAAAATGAACGGACATGAAATTTGTAGAAGATTTTAATGTTTCTGAATCAAAATGCATTACTCGGAAATAAAAATGATTTTGTGTCGTTTATAACAATGGAAATGAATCCTTATGTTTTACGGAACAGGAAACACTGTATATGATTCTTGTAACTTCGAGCAAGACCTATGCGGCTGGACACAGGACAACACTACAGATGACGGCAATTGGAAAAGATGGAGAGGACGCACCCCCACGAGTTCCACTGGTCCCTTGTATGATCATACAACAGGAACAAGTTATGGTAATGAAAGTATTAATACATCAACATACGGCAATACTGTAATATAAATGCATGTCATGATGTTTGGAATAAGCAGGTACTATAGACGTGTTTCGCTTAAAAATAAATTAGGAGTTTTTCAATGTATGATATGAATTTGGAAAAATGGAAAAAAATAACGCTATGGCTGCAATTCCAATGTTTTGCAGTCCATGCTATTTGAGCGAATAGCGATTGGCATCTTACCGTGATAATCTTGAAGCACTAAGTTGTAGGGCCTAATAATTTCAATATGTTATTTATGAAATGGCAGAGAATGTTTAAAACCAGGTGAGGGCTTAATTGGTACATCTTTTGATGTTTTGTTTTAATTAAACATTTGTTTAGGGGTTTTCATGTATATGGAATCAAGCTACACGAACAAGACTGATAAATTGCGCCTGGTGTCACCTTTGTTTCAACCAGAACAAAGTCGCAGTGGCTTCGAACTCTGGTATCATATGTTTGATAAACCTTTCGATTTCGGACTCAGTTAAGAGGATCGTAAGTGAGCTTGAAAATCATATTCGCATGGTAATAACATTGCTGTTTATAAATTACATACGGCTTACTTGGTAATTGATTAATAGCACAGGAAGGATATGTTGACGGAAAATCTTCTATTAGCTATACATTGACATATAAGATTGAAAAGTAAAGTGACGCCCTTTCCACACCTTCTCTTTTGCAAATTCAGCAGTGAACTTCGATGTATTTTTCTTTTAGATATTGGCCAATTGAATGTGCATATCCAGGTTAAAGGTTCTAAAAAAATCACACCTGTATTTAGTGACCAGGGTAACCATGGAAATGTATGGATCCATGGTAACATGACCATCCCATGTCAAACACAATCATTCCAGGTAACCCAACCATTTCAATAAATGATAATTGGTAATATATCGTAATTTTGACAATTTCGACAATAATAATAAAAGAAAATAACAAATATTATTATCACATGTTCATCATCATCTTTAGATTATAATTGAGGCTGTCGATACGACTGGCACTACCATAAGTGACATCGCCGTGGATGATTTGAAGTTTCACCAATGTGATGGTGAGTGTTTCCATTCGTGTAATTGTGTAGAACAAATATGTTTGAAAGTACACTCAGATAAGTATGTAAATAAACAAATTAATTGGAATTGTAGACACATTCATAATGTAAAAGAATCAATTAAGTTTTAATACGCTTGTGTTTCATTTAATTTCTTGTCATTAATCATTCTCATGTTTCATTTTTTATTTTAATTTTATTTTAAAAAAGTAAAAGGAAGGAACAACTACATATAAAGTAATTACATTTGATTTCAGAGGGTCAGCGATTGGTTTGTCCAACAACAACTGTCACAACGACCCAGGCAACAACCGGTTTCAGGGCCAAATATAGCGGTAAGGTGTTGCATGGAATATAACATCAATATTTGGTATTACGATGAGCAACATACATTCTTCAGATCAAACAGTAGATCTGCATATCTAATTTTTATCAAAATCGGGTCGGAGTGTGGGCTCTGCAGAAGGTTGACAAAAGGTAGCGGATTGCTGTGTTCATATTATTGGGTTTCCAACGATCGAAATCTAAATTCCATTTTAGCAGATATAGCCTTGGAGTATAGATACACTGGTTTCTCATCCCCTTTTTCAAGATTGCCTTTGACTTGGGCAAGGTAAATGAGTAATCAGTATATATTAACGTCACGTTGACTTCTTCATCTTCATCTTAATCTTTGATCTACATGTAATAAATATGAATGTTGTTATTATTAAATGCTTTTGATATTGCAAAATAAAAATATATATTCATTTTCAGTTTATTCCTATTGTCATATTATCTTGAGCTCAGTAATTCAATTATTTGTAATGTGTTCATACCTTACTCATAGCACATAATTTCCCCATTTTTTGTGTGTTTTCCTTAACACTTCTTAATCATACCACGCCGTCAAGCCTTTATCAGATGTGAATAGTGGTGTTAGGTACCGGTATAATGCTTATTTGTCTGAAATATCTTCTTTATTAGCTATCAGCCTGTTACACTGTTCCCATATTTGTAATATATTTTATAGCTACGTTTTAAACTACATTTGCATAACCATGGAAAGTTTCAATAGAAATCCTATTTACATTGGGCTTAGATATTTTTCTTTTAATTTCTGGTCTCTGACATGGTTATGTTTGCATAAAATATGATTGGCACAATTAAGAACACATAAAACGGAAACGAACGTTAATGTATACCTCATACTACATGTCTATATTAAAACTCACCCTAGGATCTCCACTGTACGTAAACTAGGCCTAATTGTTGCCGATCGCTTATGTGCTTCCTTGTAGGCAAACGTGGAAAGGCGAAGATTGAGCTGTATTCGCGGGTATTATTGCCAAGGTATGATGCACAGTCTTTTTTTCTATTATAGATATTAAATTTTTCGAATTTCGTGGAAAAAGGGCCATTGTATATTTTTCTGTTCTAAACATATTTTTGAGGACAACGGATTTTGTAAATTTTGAATTATAGTAGCCCAAGTGACTATTGATTATCAATTGTTTGCAGGATTCTCGTAATAGCCAATTCAGAGAAAAAGAAAGGAAGCTTTGGAAACAACATTAGTGGATCAAAAAACATTGTATAAAATACAAGAAGTCGGCACAAGAGCTACATATACATGCAGATCTGAAAACTTTGGGATTGAGTATGATACATGTATACCTTTACCTCTTTCTCTCCCAAGACGATGATGCGAGAGAAAAAAATGAAGGTAGCAGCCAGCGTAAATGACAGACGACTCAATCGCTTAAGGCACTCTATTGTGCCGAGTCATTTCAGTAGTTAATTTAACGTCCTTACAGTGATGGTGGAATACCATAATAAATGACAACGTGAGTTTTATTTATTTATTTATTTATTTATTTATTTATTTATTTTGTTGCTTTACCCGATATTTGTTTATATGTCGAAACAGTTCCATCTACAAGAACTTTCAACAAAACGAAATACACATACATGTGAACGTACGTCTTTTACTTTTAAAAATAAATTATGTAATCAAATAAAAAGCTTTGTTCTCTTAAAACAATACCATATTGCTACTTTTGTAAACAGGCTTAAAATGTCAGGATACTAGTAATGGAGAAATGCTGAAAATGCACTGCTGCATGATTGAAACATTACAACTGGGATCCCCTTTAAAAATGAAATGAGGAATGTGACAATCCAGCACACTGTATGAATACTTTGTCTCGTTATCAATACCACCTACCAATCCAATATATAAGTGCGAGTTCACTCCAGCATTGGTAACAAAACAACCAAAACTCTAGGATTTCCAATAGTTTAGAATCAATGCAACCTCTCCTTGTATTTCTCGCGCAGATACCCTTCCTATAGACAAAACATTATAACAACAGCTCCTTAAGAAGCGATATGTGACAAAGGCTGCATTCAGAAAAATGGACTAACTAGTCCACTAGCCAAATATGGCCGGCCCACTTAAATACGTTCCCAGTGACAATTACCGGATTAGACGGCAAGCTTTTTAGGCGGTCGCCATATTTGAATAGTAAGTCATCTGTTCTGCATGCAGCCATATAATGTTCATTGAGAGTAAGAACCGAGGTTGACGTCATCACAGCTCTGCAGAGGTAGGAACAGTGAATGCAAATGGGTAACCTCCACTTATTGAATCCCTTCTTCGTGAACGTTTTATGTGAGTTTTGAATTTTTTGCGTAAAAAGGGAGTAGAAACAGTGAAAAATACATGCTTTTATGACTCTCTGTGTATTATTCTAGCCTCACCCAAATCAACGATGTTTTTTATTTGTCTAGATCGTGATCGCACCGTTTCTATGCCATGGTATCTAAATGGTGATATTAAAGCATAAGACACACCTAAATTCAATACGTGTTTCATGCAAAATTAGCAAACCCTATCTAAAACACCACAGGTAATGTGAGATAATGCAAAAGTTAGTATATACAAGTAACCAAAGTCATTCGTCTCCTATAAACAAGGGTAAACTTGTTAATGCATAATGATAGCAATATACTATGGGTTATTTTAGAGGCACAGTGAAGCGGATTGGCCTCTGAATCAGAAGATTTTTGTCTTTTGAGAAGATAGATTATGAAACAGTAAGATCGGAAACCTATACAAGTGTTAAAAATTTATACTGTTGAAATTTAAAGCTTTAAACCAGAGAGACAACCGTCATGGTAGTGTGTACCCTGACAGTCGTTTTATTTTTGTGTGGAGTAGTCGTTCAAGGTTTGTGCTTTATGTCTTTATATATGTCGACATGCCGAGTTGTTTGCTTTCGTGTAAAATGCAGTGCAAGGGCATGGGACTTTCAGTGTTTCTGATAAACTAATTAAAAAATGGTGGAATATCATGAACAAAATGATTATTTTGATAGAGTACATTTGGGTTTCGAAAATTCTTGGTTTGTTTCATTTTAATTGTTTATACTGTGTACAATGAGCTCCCACGTTTTTAAAATATGGAATACTGTTTACTAGAGTCAAATAAAATTAAATAATCAGGCAAAAAATTGAAGGAGCTTTCAATGTTTATGAAGCAAAATGAATTACTCGGAAACAAAAATAATTTTGTGTTGATGTTAATGAACTCTCGTGTTTTTAAACAGGAAACACTGTATATAATTCTTGTAACTTCGAGCAAGACCAATGCGGCTGGACACAGGACAACAATACAGATGACGGCAATTGGAAAAGATGGAGAGGACGCACCCCCACGAGTTCCACTGGTCCCTTGTATGATCATACAACAGGAACAAGTTATGGTAATGAAAGTATTAATACATCAATATACGGCAATACTGTAATATAAATGCATGTCATGATGTTTGAAATAAGCAGGTACTATAAGACGTGTGTTGCTTAAAAATAAATTAGGGGTTTTTAAATGTATGATATGAATTTGGAAAAATGGGGTAAAAATAACGCTAGGGCTGCATTACCAATGTTTTATATTGTATAATGCTGCTATTTGAGCGAATAGCGATTGGCATCTTACCGTGATAATCTCGAAACACTAAGTTGTAATAATTTCAATATGTTTGTTATGAAATGGCAGAGAATATTTAAAACTACCCTCTACCAGGGCGACTGATAGATTTTTACAGATATTCACAGATATGTTTAAAATCAGGTTTATTGTTGAGGGCTTAAATGGTATATCTTCCGATGTTTTGTTTAATATTACTAACATGTATATTTCATACATATATATATATATATATATATATATATATATATTTGTTTAGGGTTTTTCATGTATATGGAATCAAGCCACACGAACAAGACTGATAAATTGCGCCTGATGTCACCTTTGTTTCAACCAGAACAGAGTCGCAGTTGCTTCGAATTCTGGTATCATATGTTTGATAAACCTTTCGATTTCGGACTCAGTCAAGAGGATCGTAAGTGAGCTTGGAAATCATACAAATCATATTCGCTTGGTACATGTAATAACAATGCTGCTTGGAAATTACTTATGGCTTACTTGGTCTTTGATTAATATAAAATGAAAGATGTGTTGACGGTAATTAGTATATTAGCTATACATATACATATACATATACATGAATATACAAGATGGAAAATTGAAGTGACGCCATTTCCACCCCTTCTCTTTTGCAAACTAAGCAGTGAACAATCGATGTTTTTTCTTTTAGATATTGGCCAATTGAATGTGCATATCCAGGCTAAAGGTTCTGAAAAATTCACACCTGTATTTAGTGACCAGGGTAACCATGGAAATGTATGGATGCATGGCAATATGACCATCCCATGTCAAACACAGCCATTCCAGGTAACCCAACCATTTCAATAATTTAAGCAGTGTTTTTTGGCTTAGTTTATAATATATGGTGCTTGTGACGATTTCAACAATATTAGTATGGATGATCTTATATTTAAATTAATACTTTTATCACTTCTTTAGATTATAATTGAGGCTGTCGACACGACTGGCACTACAATAAGTGACATCGCCGTGGATGATTTGAAGTTTTTCCAGTGTGATGGTGAGTAAAAGACCTGCATTGTGTAAATGCTCACCGAATGTGTGAGAAAAGTTTGAATAAAATAATTTTTAAAAAATATTTTTATTGTGAAATGAAAAACCTCATATGCTAGTGGTATTTTATTAAATTTTATGTCACTTGTGGGAATCATGCGAGATGACCCTAAGTCTCGCGAGAGAGTTTAAAATTACGCGTGGTTTCGTGGGATTTGGAGGAGAACGCAATCAGGAATAATGAAAGAGTAGTACAGTCTTTTGCACAACACTACACAACAGTACATATGTTTTGCGCGTTACTTGAGTATTGCTTTCTAAGATGACATTATTGCTAGAAGGTTATTATCTGTGACCATTACAATTCTTTATAGTTTTCATTTCATTTAACCTTATTCATTTATATTTTTTAATATTTTCTATAGAGGGTCAATACCTTACCTGTCCAACGACAACCATCAAAACAACCCCAACCCCAACCACAACCACCACGACTATGGTCACCACAACCACCACCAAAGCCACCACAACCACAACAACCCCTACCACGACAGTCACTCAGATGATATCAACCATCCCCATGCAGACCACCAGAGTCAGCCCTACACCTGCAAAACAGACACCTTTTCCTGCAGTGCCGACTCCTCGCCCAGGGGGTATTGCTCCCACTTTGGCACCACCGATACCTACTTCCCATATCATTGTTCCCACGTTGGCGCCACCAATGCCGACGATGGCCCCACCTACACTGGTTCCTATGGTGCCCACGATGATCCAAACTGATCCCATTCATGCTTGGTCTGCACATTATACAACACCCACCACGCCACCGACAAGCAGACCGACAAAAAGTAGCACCACCCCTAACACGCCAACCTCCAAGCTTCATGTAGGCCTAGGAACGACTACGAAATCTCAGACCAAAAATCCCAAACAAACTACGCCTACAGGTATTAAAACAACAGCGCCACCGACAAGCAGACCAACTAAAGGTAGTACCGCTCCCAATAAGCCAATCTCCAAGCAACCTTTAGTCCTCGGAAAGATTTCTACGACCAAAATTCCGTCAAGTCAAGTCAATAGTGCATCACCAACATTACTGTCTTCTACAAATCCACACCCGGGGAAGGTACCCGTGACGCAAGCACAATCCCAAGCAAACTTCAATACGAACTCTCCCTTCACAGAACAAGTGACCTCTGGCTTGGAAAATGCCACTTTCGACCAGACAACTTCTCAGAGTTCTTCTTATCGGGTGTCCGCGACAACGGCATCCAACCATGGTACCAACCCAGGAAAGAATGGCGTCGAGAAGCAAACTGGGGGAGCAGGAGGTCAACAGGACATCGTTCCCATAGCGGTCGGAGCAAGCTTAGGAGGGTTGGTGTTGCTGGGTTTAACAGGGCTACTACTCTGGTATTTTATCTCAAAAAGAAAAGGACAAAAAGGAGTGAGCCCCAGACCCTCCATGTCGAATATTGAAAACTCACCAAAGGTTTACACAGAGAGCCTTTAAAGACACTATGATACGTCCGCTGTTTTTGTGGAGTACTAGTGTTATCGACCCGAGAAACATTGAAGGGAATTAACTTATTAATTATGAAATACATGTAGAACCAAACCTTATCGAGGCATGGATGCAAATCTCTTTTACAACAGCCTCAATGATAACTGAGCCATTGTATATTATTTCTGATTCTAATTTTTGCAACGCCCTACTGCTGATGTAAATACATGTGGCTGATGAGTACGGAAATGACTCGATTTTTTCAATGGGCAAAAATGATCCATCTTTTAGATACCTAATTTTGGAATCATTAGAATTATATTTCCGTGTAGCATTTTTGGTGTTTTACCGTATACAATAGCGCTTAGAGAGTAAACCTGTTTTTCAATTTTGTTATCACTTAATAGGAATTTCACTATTTTTCAGAATTTATGACTTTCCAAAATTCAGTATCTGTATATTCACAATTTTCTCCAATTGATTACTGTATTGTGATTATATGTCTACGTACTGTATGTCACAAATATAGAAGAAAATATCGAAGGATTCACAGTATGGAATTTAGGGTATAAAATTGGCTACATCTTGGTGTCAAGAAGAAAATGACTCACCTTATCGCAGCTTTCACACTATTTATGTGCTCGTGTTCATCAATGGCAATATATTCAAAAAGTCATTTGAGATGGTTACCTCACGGTCATTTAACTACTTGGGAAAGATCAGCTTAATTAAATTCTCTAAATCAAGTCAACAACCGCTTCATTACTACTTGTAGTGAGCGATATGAATAAAATATTGTTACCACCTCACTCATATGGTTATTATACTATGTGAAAATGAATGTGGCTCTGGGTAACACCCAGGTGTCGAACTGCTTATTTATAATTTTGACGATATAGCAAAATACATAGATCATGCTTAAGTGTTCTTCTGAATGTGGGTGCTCTAGAGAAAAATGGAGCATACAATTAAAAAAGGTACTGTTCACAGCTTACGCAACAGCGGGAGATAGATAAATATTAGAAGGAAGGAAAAAGGCTCCCTCCTCCTTGAACAGACGCGAAGGCATTACGGCAACAACTGGAAAATGTTTGAAAACGAATCCATTGGTAAATTTATTGATAAATAAATAAACAAATAAATAAACAACTGCCTCATTTTTTATTAGTAACCTCTAGTCATAGGTCTTTTATTCTACTGTCGAATGATTTTAATAATTCAAATAAACAATTAACTAACAAAAGTATTAGTTAATGATTTCACCCTCTATTTAATTTCATATTTCCAAAAGTTTCATTTAAACGTTTTATTAAAACATTAAAATAAAGAATAAGTGGAACACACTTCCTATAATATCTCTAAAAATGCACTTAATTATTTTAATATATATTGTGATTTTATTACACTGATTGTAATAATCGTTTGGAAAGAGGGTAATATGTAAATGCAAAATTAAAAACAACAACAAAAACAACAGAAAAAAAACATGATTATAAGAAGAAGAAGAAGAAGAAAAAGAACAACGACAACTTAGACCACAGCGCAAGACTTGAGTGTGAGAAACGAATTTTGTACTTCGTTGTCTTCGTACATGTATATTGCTTTCCTTAGACCTGACGATTTCCTTTCTGGAAGTTTATCCAGCATGCTTTGGTCACTTGATTTATCAGGTGAAATTTCGGTTTAAAAGGATCAAATTCAAACGCGTTCAGGGTACATCTACTACTTCCCTGGGGGACAGTAGCTCGGCAGGTTAAATATCCCCGGGTTCTTTATCCCAGCCGTAACATTTTCAAAGGTTAAACTTGTCAGCCTAAACTTATCTGAAATAAATAAATAAAATAATTAATTAATTAATAAAATTGAAACAAAACCAAATAATATTAGGCCTGTACAACGAAAGTCTATCACAATCACAATATCTGTCCTTTATCTTCTAAAAGACTGACATTTTTTCAAAATTACCCAAGAATTGCCTTTTTTTCATTATGGTATAAATTATATAGTTGTACATCCTACCTGGGACAGTTGATCTTCTTGTCTCCGACACCGGCCAGCATGTCTTGGACTCCACTTCATACACGGTGGCTTGGCTCGCTGCAGGTGCGTCAACGTACCAACGATCTACCTCGAGGGTCTGCGATAAGAGGTACGTGCCTTGGAATTGTGCATTGGCTGTGTATAAGCAGATATATGTGCAGTTGAAAGCGTTTAGGTATCATGTGAAATATCGGAAAGACACATGAATTTAAACGTGCTCACAGATTACCGGTTTGAAGGGCATGGATGTCTGCCGTTATGCATGTCCAACAGGAATATATTTCCTAGCTGCGTATAAATACAGCTGGGAATCTAGTTCTGGACAGGACAGTACGTCCATGGGAACAAATGTTCATAGGACATGGGGCACATGCATTCCTTTCACATCGGCATGTAGTGTTTTCATATGGTTGGGCCGGTTGTCACATCTAACACATTTAACACAATCCACAATCGATGACGCACTATATGCATCAGAAACAATGCACATGTACTAGAACCGATCTAACCGCTCGGTATAAAAATGGCGTAGAAGTTGATAAGCACACTTTCATATCTTAGCATATTGTGTACATTTCCTTTTGAATCAAAGTGGGCATACAGATTGACAGCAATTTTAATTGACAAAAGTATCTTCGTATTAATTTGTTTTATTCAATAGATAGATTAAATCCGAGCTCAGTATTTGTAGGTCTCTTCACACACACACACACACACACACACACACACCGTTTAAGAAGTAAGTATCGGCAATATTAATAACCCTGCTACCCACACGTACCTGGTATACAGGGTGGATACATACTACTGTTCAGTTTTCTTGTTGTGCACGTTTTATTGCTCTCGATGATCTCCCACTGCATCCCCTTGATTGAAACAAAACATTCAGAGTGGAAGCATGATAGAAAAGGACAGAAACAACGCCATGGGTATATTACAAAACGCATTACGATATTGCCACATCTTCTCTGCAGTGCTGTTGCTGCAGCACTGTCAAAGTGACTCTCTCAAGTACTGCTACTAGATTACATTTATACCACTGATCTAACTTTAGCCCGAAGATCACGTTCTCAGTTCTGACCTTTCGAAGACCCCCCCTCCAGTATCCCAAATTTATGCAAACTGAAAAAAACTGCGTCTCACCTTTTTGTAGTCCTTGATGACAGTCATTTTAGCGTGTAATATGGCAATGGTGGGGACACATGAAAATCCTGCACTTGTGCCTCCCTCATGTTAGGGTAGTCATATGTTGTATTTATCGTCCCTCGCGTCAAGGAAACATCGTCGTTTTTGTGGACGTAGTTTGCCATTCCAAGCGTCACCAGGCCTTCCCATTGCTTAGGTTTACAACATGGCGTAGGGGAGGCGTTTACCATGATCGCCATTGTAGCAAAAAGTAGCCACATGGATATCTTGCACGCCATATGTAGTGTGGAGTATTTACCAATAATGGGAGGATATAAATTTAGTGGTTTAGGTCAAGGTCTAGGAAGTATCGTAGATAGGGTAAATAGAAGGCAGGCAGGGGAAGGGGGTGGTGTATCACTAATATTTGCGGGAAGTGGTGACATTGGTAGATTAGATAATAGAAGCTCACTTCATCATTCCTGCGACACAAAGGTCCTTATTCGGTCTGAAGAGAGCTGCCGCGCGTATTTATCTCGGATATGAGCTATGGCTCCCCAACATTTTTTGTTAAGTGTGGGTGGGGCAGGCGTTCTTGTGCCAATAGGTAGCAGGTGCACTTAAAACAAATTTTTTTGCTGGAAGACAACTTACATAGTTTCTCGTATTTGTGAAGCAGCTAAAACAGCATTAATTGGACTCGGGCTCTACGTGGTAGAGCACCAAATCGCGAGAAATGTTTATATCGTATAAGTTTGTTCAACTTGAATAAAACTGATAACGTTGCAAATGAAAACTTGTAAAATATAATAAAAAGTGATATTAGTATACAGAAAAACATCACTATTTACTCGATTTAAAAACAGAACAGATATGAATAAGAGCTTTGAAATATGAACATTAAATGAAGTTCACTGAACCCTACTCCCTATATTACCAGAAGGCAGCTGGATGATGACGTAATTTTTGAAATTTTGTGTAAAACTTCCGTTCAACGTGCACTACAATATGCACAGAATTAGGCCTAGCCAGAGAAATATCTGTCGTTTTCAAGTGAAAAACTCTCGCTATGTGGCTCTGATTGAGGTATTGTAACGTTCTGGAGTCTTCAATCATTTATTCACCACTCACTCTTCATACAATTTTACAAGTATTTTGCTCTAATTCTCCGTATTGATCACGCGTGTAATTATGTTCTCTTCATTGTTTATGGCGTGATTTCCAGAAATTGTCCATTCTAAAGTTGACTTTACCATAGAACATTCCCTTATTAGGCAATGTCTAATAGCCTTGTTTTCAACTAAAATTATCAAAAATAATATTTGAATTACTCATACTTGAATCATGTCCAAAACTCAGTTATCATGTGATAAACAGTTGATCGAAATTAAAATCTATTATGAAATTAACCGCATAAACTGTTGCTGACGTTGACCTTTTTCATCTTTTTCTGACGCTAAAAACATGTTCTACACTTGTTGACTCTTGATGAAACTTAACTTACACTCAATACCACTCTAACTTTTCATCTATTTGATTTCCCTTTTATTACTAATTGTAATTAGTGTAAGCGTAAGTCATTAATTTTATAACAGAGGGTAGGCACACCCTAAGTTATTCCTGTGATTGCTTTATGCCACACGACATGCACTATAAGGCAGTTTAAACAACGATAATTGATTCAGAAACAAAGGGAATTTATCTTCCCATTATCAAGATTATTCACACATGTCAATCTTCTTGTAATAAAGTTTGTCTCTGTAGAATCTGCCCGGTTTGAATCTTTTAAAAAGTGGCCATACGCAGGTGCAGGTATGCAGTGTTTTCAGATGGTTACTAGTGGTGAAAGTCGACATGTTCACATATTTTCTAGTTGCTGCTGTATTCTCCATCCATATACGTGGGTTGTTTATATCAGGTACCTGTATTTATATTAGTTAAAGTATGCAAACGTGATTGTGCGTACAGATATTTTACCTCAATATATAATATCCACAGCACGTTGCATATATGTACATAATAATGGAAATTCCCGTGTTAATTATTGACGTGAACAAATTTTAATTGTGTTGGATCAATACAAAGACGGCTATTTTTAATATTGCAAAGAAATGGACCACATGGTTAAAATTAAACGACATGTTATTTCCATTGTTTTTCTGTTGTTAGTCTTTCTTTTCATTTGCATCGAGTTCCTAACCGATTGAACAATTGACAAAGTAATTGGTAAGTAAAATCTGTTTATTGTCATGACGTAGGAAATGTAGCAGGCCACAACGTGTACGAAAGTTGCGACTTTGAAGTCGGGTTTTGTGGTTGGTCACAAGACATCGCGTCTGACGACGGAAACTGGACAAGGTGGAAAGGAAGGACACCCACACGATATACTGGACCAAGTGTGGACCATACGACAAATACAACGGCAGGTTTGTGGTCAAATATAAAAAGATGTTGGTTCTGTTTCAAAAGCTTCCAGCATTAAATTCAAAAGCTTTCTGCATTAATAAATTCATACATTTAGCGTTTGGCCTTTAAATAGCAAAAATTAAACATTCCTGCCAATGTCAAAACGGATTTAATTACAAAGGTATACCATAGAAAATAGTGTTACATATATGATTTTTACAAAACATGCTCTATAGACCTGTTATTATATTCTAAGTTTCTATTGTTGTGCCAGTCTCCCCTGAAGAGGGAGATGATATTGGAAATCACCAGCGACTGTTAACATTAGAAGATGAGAGTTTGAAAACGAGACAAGACGATGAAAAAATTACTAGAATTTCCCGAAAAATTATAGCCACAGGTATATAACGTATGCAATTGGTTTAGTGTTTTGACAAATGAAATAAACTGAGTGATATTTAAGCTCTTTGGGAAAAAAAAGGTTGGGTAAACCTCCAGGATATTCTAATTTTTCCAGGTTTTTACATATATATGGAATCAAGCCCCCTAAAGCAGGGAGATAAGATTCGACTACTCTCTCCCCTTTTCCAAGTAAATTTGAGCAGCAGTTGTTTTGAATTTTGGTACCACATGTTTGACAAACCTTTTGACTTTGGACTCAAGAGCAACGATGGTAAATATAAAGTGGCAATTATAAAACCTTACAAGATAACGTGTGATAGGTTTGTAAACATACCTTGTTAAGGGTGGGTTGGTGGACTGTTATAAACACACGGTTCTACCGCATTATTTTTGTTTCACGCAGATACTATAAATACCGCAATGCGAGGATTTATTCTCTGTTTTGTCAAATTTCAACAATCAATATCAGTTTCAAGTTATGAAGGCTAAACTGAACATTATGTAAATGTTTAGTAAAATGCTATGATGAACTGACTACCGGTATTTCAGTTTTGTCTTCATGTCTGAATGGAGATACAGCCATGGGCACATTTTGGGACACAAACAATGGTAAACATTATGATTTATTTACTTCCAGCTGTAGGAGAACTTAATATTTACATCACAACTAGGGCGCTGGCCAGGAAAAGCATATTTAATACTTGTGGAAACCATGGAGACCGATGGATTCAGGGGGTTGTGGCCATACCACAGTTAAATGAGTCATTTCAGGTGTGTTTTATTTCAAGTATCATAGCAACTGTCAAAGTTTATGACATACGTAGTAGATAATACATGTGTGTGCTTTTTACGGTATATGATAGAACAGATAAAGATTGGCGATGAAACCAAAAATATTTTGCTTATCACCACTTGATGAAAGGATTTTGTGTTTAATGTCCAGGTAAATTAGCCAAAACATGTGACCTCTAGTAGATGTACTATATACGGTGTAGCAAGTAAAACGGATATTTATCATTTTTTCTATTGCTGTAGATAATTCTAGAAGCTGTGGACATATTTGGTCAGCCGAACAGTGATATTGCTATCGACGATCTCAAGCTGGGGCCGTGCGGAAGTCTTACAACTTTGGGTGTTTGTAACAGGTCAACAACAACCGTTGAAACCATCACGACCACAGCTAGCCTCACGATGAGTACAATGAGCTCCAACGTTTTTAAAATATGGAATACTTTTTACTAGTTTTCAAGTAAAATGGAATAATCAGGCACAAAATTGAAGGAGCTTTCAATGTTTATGAAGCAAAATGAATTACTCGGAAACAAAAATAATTTTGTGTTGATTATAACAATGTTAATGAGCTCTCGTGTTTTTTAAACAGGAAATGGAATGGAAACACTGTATATAATTCTTGTAACTTCGAGCGAGACCAATGCGGCTGGACACAGGACAACAGTACAGATGACGGAGATTGGAAAAGATGGAGAGGACGCACCCCCACGAGTTCCACTGGTCCCTTGTATGATCATACAACAGGAACAAGTTATGGTAATGAAAGTATTAATACATCTTTATACGGCAATACTGTAATATAAATGCATGTCATGATGTTTGGAATAAGCAGAATAAGACGTGTGTTGCTCAAAAATAAATTAGGAGTTTTTAAATGTATGATATGAATTTGGAAAAATGGGGAAAAAATAACGCTAGGGCTGCATTACCAATGTTTTGCAGTCAATGCTATTTGAGCGAATAGCGATTGGCATCTTACCGTGATAATCTCGAAACACTAAGATGTAATAATTTCAATGTTTTTTATGAAATGGCAGAGTATGTTTAAAATCAGGTTTATTGGTGAGGGCTTAATTGGTACATCTTCTGTTGTTTTGTTTTAATATTACTAACATGTATATATATTTCATAAATTTGTTAAGGGTTTTTCATGTATATGGAATCAAGCCACACGAACAAGACTGATAAATTGCTCCTGATGTCACCTTTGTTTCAACCAGAACAAAGTCGCAGTTGCTTCGAACTCTGGTATCATATGTTTGATAAACCTTTCGATTTCGGACTCAGTCAAGAGGATCGTAAGTGAGCTTGAAAATCATATAAATCAAATTCGCTTGGTACATGTAATAACAATGCTGCTTGGAAATTACTTATGGCTTACTTGGTAACTGATTAATATAACATGAGGGATGTGTTGACTGTAATTAATATATTAGCTATAGGCCTACGTATACATGAATATACAAGATGGCAAATTGAAGTGACGCCATTTCCACCCCTTCTCTTTTGCAAACTAAGCAGTGAACAATCGATGTTTTTTTCTTTTAGATATTGGCCAATTGAATGTGCATATCCAGGCTAAGGATTCTAAAAAATTCACACCTGTATTTAGCGACCAGGGTAACCATGGAAATGTATGGATCCATGGTAACATGACCATCCCATGTCAAACACAGCCATTCCAGGTAACCCAACCATTTCAATAAATTAAACAGTGTTTTTCGGCTTAGTTTATGATATGTGGTGCTTGTGACAATTCAACAATATTGATATTATGGATGATCTTATATTTAAATAAATACCTTTTATCACTTCTTTAGATTATAATTGAGGCTGTCGACACGACTGGCACTACAATAAGTGACATCGCCGTGGATGATTTGAAGTTTTTCCAGTGTGATGGTGAGTATAAGGCCTGCATTGTGTAAATGTCCACCGAATGCGTGAGAAAAGTTTAGAATATATATTTTTATTGTGAAATAAAAAAAACTCGTGTGTTAGTGGTATTTTATTAAATTCTATGTCACTTGAGAGAATCATGCAGATGACCCTAAGTCTAGCGACAGAGTTTAAAATAACGCGTGGTTTCGTGGGATTTGGCGGAGAACGCGATCAGGAATAATGAAAGAGAAGCGAATTAGTCTTTTGCACAACAGTACATATTCACCATGTTTTGCGCGTTACTTGGGTATTGCTTTCTAAGATTACATTATTTCTAGAAGGTTATTATCTGTGACCATTTCCAGTCTTATACATTCTTATAAGGTTTTCATTTTATCTAACCTCATTCATTAATTATATTTTTTAAAAATTTTCTATAGAGGGTCAACACCTTACTTGTCCAACGACAACCGTAAAGACTACCACAACCACCACCAAAGCCACCACAACCACGACCACCACGACTCCCACCACGACAGTCATTCAGATGATATCAACCATCCCCATGCAGACCACCAGAGTCATCCCTACACCTGCAAAACAGACACCTTTTCCTGCAGTGCCAACATTGGCACCACCGATACCTACTTCCCATATTATTGTTCCCACTTTGGCGCCACCAATGCCGACGGTGGCCCCACCTACACCGGTTCCTATGGTGCCCACGATGATCCAAACTGATTCCATTCATGTTTGGTCGTCACATACAACACCCACCACTCCACTGACGAGCAGACCGACAAAAAGCAGCCCCACCACTAACACGCCAACCCCCAAACTACCTGTAGGCCTGGGAAAGACTACGAAATCACAGACCAAAATTCCCAAACCAACTAAGCAAACTGGGGGAGCAGGAGGTCAACAGGACATCGTTCCCATAGCGGTCGGAGCCAGCCTAGGAGGGTTGGTGTTGCTGGGTTTAACAGGGCTACTACTCTGGTATTTTATCTCAAAAAGAAAAGGACAAAAAAGAGTAAGCCTCAGAACCTTCATTTCGAATATTGAAAACTCACCAAAGGTTTACACAGAAAGGCTTTAAAGACACTATGAAACGTCCGCTGTTTTTATGGAGTAGTATTATCAACCGAGAAACATTGAAGGAAATTAACTTATTAATTATGAAATACATGTAGAGCCAAACCTTATCGAGGCATGGATGCATATTTCTTTTACAACAGCCTCAATGATAAATGAACCATTGTATATTATTTCTGAATCTAATTTTTGCAACGCCCTACTGCTGATGTAAATACATGTGGCTGATGAGTACGGAAATGACTCGATTTTTTCAATGGGCAAAAATGATCCATCATTTAGATAACTAATTTTAGAATCATTAGAATTACATTTCCGTGTAGAATTTTTGGTGTTTTACCGCATACAATAGCGCTTAGAGGGTAACCTGTTTTTTAGTTTTGTTGTTATCCCTCAATTTGGGATATAAAATGTGCTACATTTTGGTGTCAAGAAGAAAATGACTCACCTAATCTCAGCTTCATCAGCAGCAATATATTCAAAAAGACATTTGCGATGGTTACCACAAGGTCATTGGACTACTAGGGAAAGATCGGCTTAATTTTATTCGTTAAATCAAGGCAACGACCGCTTCATTACTACATGTACTTGTAGTGAGCGATATAAATAAAATATTGTTACCACTACACGTGTCCATTGGTGTTTATATAATGTGAAAATGAATGTGGCTCTGTATACACCCAATTGTCGAACTGCTTATTTATATTTTTGACGATATAGCAAAATACACAGATCATGATTAAGTTTTCTTCTGAATTTGGGTGCCCTAGAGAAAAATAAAGCACGCAAATAAAAAGAGGTATTGTTCACAGCTTACGCAACAGCGGGAGATAGATAAACATTAGAAGGAAGGAAAAAAGCCCCCCTCTTCCTTGAACAGACGCGAGGGCATTACGGCAACACCTGGTAAATGTTTGAAAACGAATACAATGGTAAATTTATTGATAAATAAATAAATAAACAACTGCCTCCTTTTTCATGACCTCTAAACACAGGTCTTTCATTCTACTTTTGATTTTGATAATTCAAACAAACAATAAACTAACAGAAATATTAGTTAACGATTTCACCCTCTGTTTACATTTAATATATTCAAAAGTTTCTAATCATTTAAACGTTTCATTAAAACATTAAAAAAAGAATACGTGGAACATACTTCCTATATCTCTAAAAATTGCACTTAATTGTGTCAATATATATTGTGATTTTATTACAATGATTGTTATAATCGTTTGGAAAGAGGGTAATATGTAAATACAAATTAAAAACAACAACAAAAACAACAGCAACAACAACAAAAAACATAATTATAATAATAAAAAGAAGAAAAAGAACAACGACAACTTAGACCACAGCGCAAGACTTGAGTATGAGACACGAATTTTGCACTTCGTTGTCTTCGTATATTGTTTTCCATAGACCTGACGATTTCCTTTCTGGAAGTTTATCCAGCATGTGTCCTGGTCACTTGATTTATCAGGTGAAATTTTGGTTAAAAAGGATCTTATTCAAACGCGTTCAGGGTACATCTACTACTTCCCTGGGGGACAGTAGCTCGGCAGGTTAAATATCCCCGGGTTCTTTATCCCAGCCGTAATATTTTCAAAGGTTAAACTTGTCAGCCTAAACATATCTGAATTAAATAAATAAATAAATAAAAAAATAAAATAAGTTAAACTGAAACAAAACCAAATAATATCAAACAACGAATGCCTATCACAATCACAATATCTGTCTTTTTTAGCAAAAATACTACAAGACTATGATATTTTTTCCAAATTACCCAAGAATTGCCTTTTTTTCATTATGGTATAAATTATATAGCTGTACACCCTACCTGGGACAGTTGATCTTCTTGTCTCCGACACCGGCCAGCATGTCTTGGACTCTACTTCATACACGGTGGCTTGGCTCGCTGTAGGTGCATCAAGGTACCAACGATCTACCTCGAGGGTCTCCGATAAGAGGTACGTGCCTTGGAATTGTGCATTGGCTGGGTATTGATAGATATAATATGTGCAGTTGAAAGCGTTTAGATATCATGTGAAATATCGGTAAAATACATGACTTGAAATTAAATGAGCTCACAGATTACCGGTGTAACGTGACAGAGTTCCCCATGATATAGAGTCCGCTTCCCATTCATTTGTACAGGTAAGCCTTGACCTAGATTTTGACCCACTAAGGCCAGGCTAACCCTAACCATTATAACTAAATGGAGGGTGGACTTTCTGTTACAGGGACCGTCAGGTTCGTTACACCGGCATGTGGAGTTTTCATATGGTGTGGCCAGTTGTCACATCTAACACATTTAACACAATCCACTATCGATGAATTACTATGTGCATCAGAAACAATGCACATGTACTAGTACCGATCTAACCGCCCGGTATGAAATGATGTACAAGTTGAGAAATACACTTTCATATCTAAAAATGTTTGGGACATATTTGATAGGTTTCCTTTTGAAACAAAGTGGGCATACAGACTATGGCAATTGTAATTGACAAGTATCTTCGTATTAATTTTAGTTTTATTCAGTATTTGTAGGTATCTTCACACACACACACACACACACACACACACACACACACACATGATTTAGAAGTAACGGCAATATTAATAACTCCGCTACCCACACGTACCTAATACACAGGGCGGAGACATACTGCTGTTTAGTTTTCTTGTTGTGCACGTTTTATTGCTCTCGATGATCTCCCACTGCATCCCCTTGATTGAAACAAAACATTCAGAGTGGAAACATGATAGAAAAGGACAGAAAAAATGCTATGGGTATATTACAAAACGCATTGCGATATTGCCACACATTCTATGCAGTGCTGTTGCTGCAGCGCTGTCAAAGTGACTCTCCCAAGTACTGGTACTAGATTACATTAAACTAATGATCAAACTTTAGACCGAAGCTCAAGTCCACAGTTCTGGCCTTTCAAAGACCCTCTCCATTATCCCAAATTTATGCAAAATGCAAAATGCAAAAAAAAAAAAAAAAAAAAAAAAAAAAAAAAAAAAAAAAAAAAAAAAAAACTGCGTCCCACCTTTTTGTAGTCCTTGATGACAGTCATTTTAACCGTGTAATATGGGAATGGTGGGGACACATGAAAATCCTGCACTTGTGCCTCCCTCATGTTAGGGTAGTCATATGTCGTATTTATCGTCCCTCGCGTCAAGGAAACATCGTCGTTTTTGTGGACGTAGTTTGCCATACCAAGCGTCACCAGGCCTTCCCATTGCTTCGGTTTACAACATGGCGTAGGGGAGGCATTTACCATGATCGCCGTTGTAGCAAAAAGTAGCCACATGGGTATCTTGCACATCATTGTGTGGAGTTTTTACCAATAACGGGAGGGTATTAATTTAGTGGTTTAGGTCAAGGTCTAGGAAGTATCGTAGATAGGGTAAATAGAAGGCAGGCAGGGGAAGGGGATGGTGTATCACTAATATTTGCGGAAAGTGGTGACATTGGTAGATTAGATAATAGAAGCTCACTTCATCATTCCTGCCACACAAACATGACAAAGGTCCTCATTCGGTCTGAAGAGAGCTGCCGCGTGTATTTATCTTGGATATGAGCTATGGCTCCCCA